TTTAACCTTTTGGCCCAGTGTATTCTTCATCGGTCTAAAACTGAAAAGGGATACCTGAGTAAGAATGTGGGGTCTACACCAGAAAAAGCTGAAAGCTGTGATCTCTAGGATGGGCTATTTTCCACCCAGCTCATGTAACAAAGATTAATTCTAATCCATTGCAGTGTATCATCCCTATACCAAATCACAGGGTGTACAGAGAGAGCTGTTGGAAAGAATTTCTGAGTTTCTGGTTGTCTGGGTAGGATTGTGTGATTATAGTTAGAATTTAGATGTGACTTTAGTAAGATGACCCAGCCGCCGAGGGTAACAACTACACTTTCCAAAGTAAAAATTTGCTACAGTCTTTATCTTCTAGGAACCCCAAATTAACACATTAGCTCTCTCCTGTGAGTAATTACAGGTTTCTCCTCGAATACCAGTACTGTGTCAAAGGGTTCTCAGCCTCTATAATGGTCAGTTCTCTAAAATGCCCTTGCGTGACTTACAAACGCGCAACTCTAATCTAACCTTCAGAGAGTTAATTGCTACAGTGGAACGTGGAGGTGGCCCAGTGGAACACTATATCCTTCATTAGGCAGGGGTGAGCGCGATGTTTTTTCCGTATAGGTAAGGAACTGATTGACCTATAAACCTGTACGATCTGAAATTTCATAGTTACAGAACATTGCTCATTCTTAACTGCCCCGTAACCAGAGCTCCTGTGTCCTAGTTTCCAAGAACTGTTTTTTTTTTTTTTTCATTGAAATTCATTAACTAAGAATACTTCACACACCGCACTGTTTGGATTCCTAGGGGCCCTGCATTGAATTTTTTAGTGTAACAGGGCAATCAAGCAGAGTAATCAAACATATTTTCCACGTTTGACATTCAAAACAAGGCACCAAGCTGCTTTAAAGGGGATAGGAACTAACTTATATTTATAAGTGAATGTTTCTGTAGAAAATTGAATCCTTTAGTTATCGTACATACTATACCACTCAATCAATCAATGGTAGACTGGAAAATCAATAAAAAAAATTGAGGAATTTTCCCATAATGACCGGTCATCTCTCACCTTTAATTATATGATCTATGGTAGAGATTGGAAAACCAAGAAACAAAATTATGAAATTTCCCTATAATAACCAGTTAGGCTTCATCTCTAATTACAGTATATGATCTATGGTGGAGATTGGAAAACCATGAAACAAAATGAAAGAATTTCCTCATAATGACCAGTCATCCCTCATCTCTAATTATCGATGATCTATAGCAGAGATTGGAAAACCAAGAAACAAAATTGAGGAATTTCCCTATAGTGACCTGTCAGACCCCATCTCTAATTACAGAATATCTATGGTAGAGACTGGAAACCCAAGGAACAAAAAATGAAGAATTTTCCCATAATCACAAGTCAAAGCTCATCTCTAATTATAGATGATCTACGGTAGAGATTGGAAAACCAAAAAAAAAATTGATGAATTTCCCCATAATGACCAGTTAAGTCTCATCTCTAATTATGCCAATATTCGGGCAAGTTCAACTAAATCACAAATGCAGCTACTTGGAAGGTGGATGAAAGAGTTAGTGCTTTATAACATTTTTGGAAGCTAGATAATGATTATTTTGTAAAGTTATATATTGTATATATCAGACTAGATATGTTTGTGGTAGAATGAGAGACATAGGAATTTGGTTCCAAAAGAGGGATCGTACCTCTAAATAAGGGCTAGTGGAAGGTATGCACAATGTTCGGCACCCTAAATTATATCCCTCTGCTAGATCAACTTTAGCAAAGTTCACTATTTGATAGCTTTGAGCATCGCTCCAAGTGCCAATTGTTGCCAACGTCTATGGTGCTCATCCAAGCCTAGTATATACTGTGGTGTAGAAGGACACCACACGTTCTAGCAGCCCATGTGTAGATTGAGATGAAGAGTGCCCTCTACTTAGGCTCCATCCAGGGGTGTGGCCTGGGAGGAGCCTAGGCTGAGGCCTCTCTTCATCTAAATCTATACATGGGCTGCTAAGAGTGCAGCATCCTTTTACTCCATAGTATATCCCTGGCAAAGTTCAGAGAATGTTCATTTGCCCTGAACATATTTCTGAACCTTACTAAAGTCTATGAGAACCAAATCTTGTTTTTCCTTCTTGCCTATTTCAAGATCAAATTGTGAGCATTTGTAAACATGTGTAGTTGGCCACTGCCATGAAGGACGTGTACATGTACATTTTTCGAAATATACCGTTCAACCAGTAGAGGGTCTATTAATGTGTTCAAAAAGGTAACATTAAAATACACCAATCCTTTAAATAACATGCTTTGAAGTATAACTCAAGGCAAAACTTGTCACCCTCTCTACGGTACTTGTCCTGTTTACCAATTAATAATAGAGAGGAAACCTTCTAATCGGGATGCTGGTTCTGGTGACCTGGGGGGCCCCAAGGGATTCCCTTAATTTCCTCTCACTTCATGTTTTGGCTATGGGACAGGAAGTGAAGGTAAATTTCCCCAATGGGAGACAAATGCCAAAAAAAAAAAATCTGACAGGGATATAACCCTCCCTTACTCTGTCCAAAATTATTTTTTTTTACCTATAGCTCTATGTTAAGCCTGCATGTGAAGTTGTGTGGCAGTACAAAGTGACATTGTTTGTTTACAAACAGAAGCCAGTAAATTGCCATTTAGTGGCAGCAGTACTACTGCTGCTAAATGACAGATCTCTGGCCAGCTTCTGTTTGTGAACAAATCAAGGAATCTGTAATTTAAGGTTCCCACCACTTAATGACATGTCCCACCGGCTTCTATTTGTAAACAAACAAATTGTGGATCCTTGGTGTTCCATATCTGGCCAATGGCTTCATTATCCCTAGCCTGTCTGTTTGTATACGGAAGTTGGCAGGAGATTTGCATTTGCCATGGAAGCAACAGCAGGTAAACATCATTGGACATGCCTAAGCATTGTGTTTTTAGTTCTTCATTACGTTGGTCTACATTGCTGGATAATGTGGTTTTTTTTTGTGGGGGGGGGGGGGTCCTTGTTTATCTTTCACTAAAAGGGACTTTTTCAGTATGTGCATATTTATTTTTTCACTTTTTTGTGAATGAGTAATGGAGCACTATGTACCCCATTCTTGTTCACCTGTGGGAGGGGGTGGAGGATATCTAGGGGCCTCCTTATTCTAAAGAGGGCTTATACGTTCTGATAAGCACCCCCCCTCCCACAGACCCCCACATCCCTTTTTCAGGACATGATGTGGGGATGAAGCCATTGTCCCTTCAACATGAGGACAAGATGCCTTGCAAGCCACCCCCTTGTAAGATACCCCTCCTAATGCTGAGATTAGGTGGCCTGGTATGATTCAGGAAGGGGGTTCATACTTGCTGCTCTTCACCTTTCTGGGCCACCCAGGCTGTGTGCCTAAATAAGGGTCCTTTTTAAATTTTAAGAGAAACAATATGCTGTTTTTTTAATGGTGCTGGCCCTTTAAAAAATTTTAAAAAATGTCATGGGTATTCCTCCCTTAAAATTCATAAAGGACCCCTTAATAAGGTATGTAACCTAGGTGGTCAGGAAAAAGGGGTGAGCAATGACTTTCATGACAATGACTTTAAAATAGGGAAGGGGGCAGACATATGGCCTCTTGTTCTCCTTCACAAAAAAAAGTAAAAAAGTAAATAAAACCCCAAACAGGGCAAAAACACAAACGCTTGACTTCATATGTTTCTCATCAAAGCATTCAGGTCATGTACCTAAATATCACGTAGGTGTGAAATTGTTATTCCTTCACACTCAACAATATTGTAACTATTAGATGTGTTAATTTTTAATGAATTAATATTTTTTGTTCATTAATCATTTTCTCTCTGCTGTGAACGGTCTTTTTTCTGCTTCCCTCATAAACACCTCTTAGAACTTCATAATAAACCCGGCATGTTACTTTAAGCCCAGCTCCACTCTATCTCACACCTCGGTGGAGACTACAAGTGGTTGTTTCAACACCTTACACAGGCATTGCACCTCCAAAAGGCACCTGCGTTCCAGTGTACTGCAACCCACTTAACTTGCTACTGTGCATTGTGGTGGGCTGCATTAGAAAAAAGGAGCAGGCCCTCTAACCCTCGTGTATTGTTTTGCTACTGTATTGTCTCATGTCTTGTCCCCCATTCTAATGTACAGCGCTCAGCAAACCCTTTGGCACTATATAAATACTCTATAGTAATAATAATAATAAAAGGTAAATGGTTTTTTAATCTGTTCTGGTGCATTTGCAGCCCATGCACATTAACCCTTGTGAGTTAACACAACGCATCGGAACTGGTATAGTCCTGGTTTAAGACTGCATTATCACTGTGGCAATGGCTAATACTAGCAAGGTACATTGCACTCACACATTGGAGACTTCTCGTCCAGTTTCCATTTCCACTACCTGGCTATATAGAAATTTCAACCATTTTCAATTAAATAGCTAAACAAAAGGTTCAAAGTAACCTGCTACCAACAGTTTCTACCTAAATCATTAAAACTTTTGTTTTTAGGTTACCATGACTTTTTCAATTGTTTCTACAATTGCAAGCAGTTGTGAGTTCATTCACAACATCGCGGTGTGTCAAAATACGTGCACTATTGCCAACATGCATTGGATTAACACAACCCATTCAAAATAATTGGGTTGCCAACGCACTACAAATGGGGCATGTAGTATTTCAGGCAGTGCATGCTTTGCAACATGTTAGTTTGTCCACTAGGAGCACTGGTGTGCAAATCAGAAAGGCATTGCTGTGCATTACCACCAGGGGCGGACGAACCATTTGGAAACTTGGGCACTGCCCGAGGGCCCGGGTCAGTAGGGGGCCCCATGAGATGCCCTTGGTACCTTTTTCATAGGCTTTTTTGAGTTTGGGCAAGGACATAGGGGCCCCATGATCCCCTATTGCCCGGGGGCCCCATGAGTTGTCAGTCCGCCCCTGATTACCACCACACAATTTTAAAAAAAAAAATGCCTTGTGCATGTACATCATAAAGCCTTAATGTGTTACTAAACCCACAACAGTAAAATCAGTCTGTATATGCAGTAAAGCATACTTGGTATACTCACTGTGGAACCTAAGGGGTTAATCCTCTGCATTATGTAAAAAGGCTGCTTGATGTTTTCTTCTCTGCCTCTCCTCTTGTTCAAATGCCCACGCTGATAAGACAGACTAAACTGTGCCCTTCTGCACATGCTCAGTTTAGTGTGTATTGCTAGAGAGTTTTTTTTTCTTGGGAGTGTGCATGTGATCAGCACAGGGCCAATCACACTGTCCAGACAGAGGTCAGGGGATTTACATCCTCCTCGAGAAAACTCCTCCTACAAGCATTAACCAGTGCTCAGCTGAAGTCACAAGATGGCTCTAACTGCTGATGAGAAAAGGTATTTAGCAGTTTATATTTACTAAAATAATTGCATTTCCATGTTCTGTGTACTGTGGGAAAACAGATATAGTGAATGCAGGGTCCGGGGAGAGCAGATATAGTGAATGCAGGGTCTGGGGAGAGCAGATATAGTGAATGCAGGGTCCGGGGAGACCAGATATAGTGAATGCAGGGTCCGGGGAGAGCAGATATAGTGAATGCAGGGTCTGGGGAGAGCAGATATAGTGAATGCAGGGTCCGGGGAGACCAGATATAGTGAATGCAGGGTCCGGGGAGACCAGATATAGTGAATGCGGGGTCCGGGGAGAGCAGATATAGTGAATGCAGGGTCCAGGGTTTAGTAACATTTTAAAATCCTAAAGTGGAAGTTCAGCCAAAATCTAACTAAGACTAAACTTACTCCCACCCCCATTCTATTCTACAGTATCTACTCTGTGAAGGGAAAGATGCCTATACTTACCTATTCTGAAGCCGCTCTGGTCCGGTCACGTGATCAGGTCCAAGCGCTGATTTCATCTTATCGGAGGGACAGTCGACAATGGGTGGCCTAAGCCTATCGGTGAGGTCACTGCACAGGCATTTGCAGCCATTGTTGGTGATCTCTCCTCTTCTCTGCGGCCACTGCTGGAAAGATCATGTGACTGGACCAGAGCCGCTTCAGAATAGGTAAGTATATGCATCTTTTCTTTATGGGGTTAGATAGAATAGTTTTAGAATAGGGGAGGGAGTAGGTTTAGCCTTAGTTAGATTTTGACTGACTTTTCACTCTAATGTCTAAACCCAGAATTTCTATTTTTTGGGGAGTAGAGCAGAGATAGGTTAAACACGTTAATTTTTTTGCTGTATCCTGTTGGGTAGATTTTTCTTAACTTGCTTTCTAAGGCCCCATGCATATTGGGCTTTTGGTTGTGGTGGATAGAAGGAGCTGAGTGGTGCACACAGCAGTACTTCTGTTTAGGGCAGAATGTGCCTGGGGCAAATGACCAGAATGTAAATGGTTTGCATTGCAGGCATTCATCTCTGGGAGCACACTGCTAGGTGCACTGCCCAGCCCTGTCCAGCCGCAGCAGAGGTCAGACTCTATTAAAATTTGACATGCTGCCAGCAGCAAGAGTTGGATGGTTCCCCTGTGCCCTCCAGCCCCAGCTAAACACCAGAGCCTCATGCACTGAAGTTGAACTCCCAATGTGTATGAAGCCAAAAGGTAGTAAGTAGGAATACCCTCTTAAACAGGTTTCCCTATTTGAAGATTCCACCTTACCTCCTGTTCAAGTGACAACTGTAAAATTTTATCACTTTCTGTTCCAGTGACAATGTTTACTAGAAAAAAAAAAGAGCAAATCTCCCAAGGGGGGACACAGAGAGCAATAAATATGTTATGGGGTTTCAACTTTTTTTTTAGCTATATATACATAACTTTGGGCCTGAACTCAAAAAGTAAAGATTTGCTATGCTGACATTAACATCTAGGTAACCTGTTCCTAAGCAGTACCCTGAAAAAAGTTTATTTTATTTTGCTGAAACAAAAAGAGAACTTTCTTTCTGTGCCCACAACCACATAGCTGTATGCTAGTGCTAGTCTCATGAGATTTGGAGTGAAATTTGCTAATGTCACTACTGTGCAGCTCATTGTGCTCCTTGCTGGAGGGGAAGCTGTACATAAGGAGCTACAGTGCATGATTCTGCCAACTTCTGCTTCATTCATTCTTTATAGTTGTGCTTCTGACTCTCTCCTGCTTGAGTATTACCCCATCAGTCATCAAAAGGGGAGGTGTGACATAAAAAAGCAAAGGCCTGCCTCTAGTAGAATGTCTACATCCACACAGAGACACAGTGCAGAACAAGGCATGGTAAGCCGGCAATGGGGAAAGGATCATCTGGAGCAAAACAACAGGCAATACTGATGACTAGTCCTTTGCCGTCTGATTGAATTTTCCGGATACAGCTTCAACAGTACAGGTCAGCTTCATCATTTTTCTCTATGCACTAATCTTAAAGTTAAGTCCACAAAAGCAGCAAATATTGTGCTCCTGCTACTTTTTAACTATTTTTTCTATAGTTGAACTAGGAACTACAGAAAAGCTTTTGGAGTGTGTGCCTATTTTCCTTTTGGAGTGTGTGCCTATTTTCCTTTTGGAGTGTGTGCCTATTTTCCTTTAAATGCCAAAAAATTTTATAACTGTGTATGAAATAAAGCCCTAAGAATATTGGGAGTAGAGATCAGAGAGATAGATAATAATACTATGTGGATTATATTTTCATTAACCAGAATATTTGATTACTCATAAATTATATTTTAGTTTGGATTAATTGTAGAGGCGGCCATCTAGAGCCATTTTTCTTCTTTTCTTCTCTTCTCTTCTAACTGCAGCCCTGTCGTAGTCTGTATGTTTGACCAGTATTAGTAATACATAACTTGCTATGCCTTGTGTTTGCTGGATATTATTACTAGTTCACTGACTGCTTTTACTTATTGCCTGGTATCACTCCTTAAAGCAGTAGTAAAGGCTCAAGTTGTTTTACCTTCATGTATTCTATGCATGAAGGTAAAGAAACTTCTGTGAGCAGTGCCCCCATCCCTTCTAAATATTTATCTGAACCCCATCTCGATCCAGCAATGTCTCTTCCTTCTCATTGGCTGAGACAACAGCGGTAGCCATTGGCTTCCGCTACTGTCAATCCCAGCCAGTGAGCCTATGAGGAGAGAGCGGGGCAGGGCTGGGCTACTCTCCATGCGTGAATGGACACACAGAGCAGCGGCTCGGGAATGAGCCTGCTTGGGTGCCCCCATAGCAAGCTGCTTGCTATGGGGGCACTAGGCAGGAGGGAGGTGCCCAAAGCACTGGCAGGGGACCCAAGAAGAGGAGGACGGGGCTGCTATGTACAACACTATTGCACAGAGCAGGTAAGTATGACATGGCCACTTCCTGGATTCCCTGCATGCTTTGCAGTTTCTCCTCGGCTGTTTACTTTCCATTTCTAAAGACTACATATCCCATGGTACCTTGCTGCCTGCAAGCAATGATTCCTGTACTGACTCTGCCTACTGTAGCTCCTCCTCTCAACAACTCTGTAGTTCAGAAGGCAGGCTTTGTGAAATGTGTGACACAGCAGTGCCTACTCACAGGGATTAGTGAAAACGTGTCACAGAATTCAAGGAAGGAAATGTGTGGGGATCTTACAAACTTCCAGACTGTTCTGATTAATAGAAATAGGCTAGAAATAATTGAGATACACTGTGGAAATGAATATATGATTTCACATTTTGACCATACATACATTTTAAAGAGTGACCGAAACCTTGCTCATGCTGGGCAAATTGACACTGTGCAAAGACCAAAAAGAATTGCACATGTCTAGCAGTGGACTGAGGAAAGTTGAGTATATGCTGCCGGGAGTTAAGTAGCCCTCTTTCTCTGCCTTGTATTGACAAAGTAGAAAGGTAACTTTAATAACCAATTGCAGCTTCGAACTATGATCACACAAAACCGTCCCACTACCATTCAAATATCGCTAGTTGAGCATAGAGATGTACAGACGGATTTTGGTAAAATTCGTTTGGCAGCCAAGTTTCTGATTTTTTGTCAGTTTTTTCTCTGCCTGTCTTTTCATTCTGTGAAAAATTTAAAATAATGGTGGTAACAAGCACAAGAACCGTTCCAGGATAGTCAAAAGCAGAGCCATGACCCTCAGGAGCTATTTAGTGCCCTTTTTCCACTCTTATAGCTGAGTTTCAGGAATCCAGCCACTTTGTAAAAAGTGAAGGGACACTATGAGTTAAGTCCAATGAGGTGCTTGACATCTTCTGAACTTATCTCTATTAATTATATCTGACAGGTTTATGGCTTTTCCACAGATACATGAGGCACTCAGACCTGTGAGAGAGAAGAGAGGAAAACAGAGCAGCTATGCCCGCCTCTTCCCTCTAATGCCCATTTAGAGAAGCCTTTATAATTTGTGAACGAGTTCACATAATACAAAGGCTTCTGTGAATGAGCAGGAGGAGGGAAGGGTGGGCATAGAAGCTGCAGTGACTCTACTGCTGAAGATGCTGAGACCTGAAGCATCAGCATTGGGCTCATGGAACTACAGAGATAGTGGTCTCCCAGGAGTACTATAAACCTGTTAGATATAAATAAAAGTTCAGGAGATGTTATGCATCTCATTGGACCTAACTCATGGTGTGCCTTCACATTTTACAAAGGAGCTGAATTCTAATATTTTTTTTAGCTTTACTCCCAATGCATTTTGCCAAAATAGCTAAATTCCTGTGAAATCCCAGCTATTCATTACCCTTGATATTTGGGCTAAAAGAAAACTTTCAATTTCACTCCTTTTTATCTGAATGAAGCTGTAAATAAACTAAAGGCACATAATTTATTATCTGCAGCACCCTATCCTCCCACTAATGCTCACAATATAGAGGACTATATCATGGAGAGAGTTCTGTAACAAGGATTTTCCTACTATTGAGCTACAGATGGCCATGGCAGAGCAGGACAATTTCCCTTGTGTCCCTTGCTCTTGGTCATTCAACATTATGGATCAGATGACATGACCAGGCGAAGAGAACACATGTGGAAGGGTTTGTGCTCTGGGCGCAACTCATCAGCATTCTGTCCTTGACAATCTTCTTTT